GTGTGTGTGTGTGTGTGTGTGTGTGTGTGTGTGTGTGTGTTTGGCTTAGTTTGGGCTGTTATCTTGAATGGTATCTACTTTGTTCATTACATTTTCTTACTTTTGCATAAAGAATCTATGATTTCAGAGTGTATTAGTTGTGTAACAGGCCACCTTCCTTAATTTGTTGCATATACATTTTCAGTGGATTCTTTAGATTTTTACAGGTGTTAAGTTATACCATCTGCAAAAATAATGACAACTATGCCTTTTCTAAGTAGAGTCTTTATTCCTCTTTACCAAGTATTTAAATTTAACCCGTTCTCTTATCATATTTCTCCTCTGAATTTGAGTGGAGATGAAACATATTAGATTTCTTTAACATGTGAAATTTAGGTAGAAAATTTGATTGTGTTACAGATTTAAATTTATTGTATCATGTACAAATGTCCAATATTTAACCCAGATTTGGAGCCTTAATAATAGTAATGCCTTATTTACAGACTTTATTCAATAATTTTCTGTTTGTTACAAAAAGGAGAGAAGATACATAAACTGAATTCACAGTTTAAACAAGTCCTGTGACCTTAGAAAAATGGGTGGTACAGTGATGTAGTTCCCAGAGCCCCCAGCAGGGGCCAGGATGCTCTTGCTAAATCTAATGAAATAAAAATGTTTTTACTATAATTCAAGGTTTTATTTACTTTCAAACCAATAAGAAAGCCAGATAGGACTCTTTATAGTTAAAATTCCTAGAAACCACTGACATTCATTTTAAATATCAAGAATGTAAATATGTAATTCAAAATATTGAAAAATTAGTTTAACAGAAATAGTGATGTTCTACAGCAAAAGGCTGAGACCCAGTATCTGAACAAATGGGCACCCAAAGTACATGAGTCAGTAGGCACTGAAGCCCTCCTGCTAACTGCGAACCAGGCCATTGAGCTGCCAGTTGCCCAGGCAGACCGTGGCCCGGGGCCAGGAACAAAGGGCAGAGCTGTGGCATCCGTCCAGGACATGGAGCACTGACCTTATTGGTTAATTTTAGAACATTTAAAAAAAATTCCTGCCCAGTCTGTGTGGCTCAGTGGTTGAGCACTGACCTATGAACCAGGAGGTCACAGTTAGATTCCCGGTCAGGGCACATGCCCGGGTTGTGGGCTCGATCCTCAGTGTGGGGCGTGCAGGAGGCAGCCGATCATGATTTTCTCTCAGCATTGATGTTTCTATCTCTCTCTCCCTCTCCCTTCCTCTCTGAAATCAAGAAAAATATATTTTAAAAAATTCTTAACTCAATATAAAAGAAGTACTTGGTACATCAAGAGTATTTCCATGCAAATTGCCTTTGTAAGTCCAATACACTGTTTTTAATTTAATTCCAATTTAAATCATGTAGCTCTCGCTGGGCCTCAGCTTCTTCATCTGTTCATGAGAAGATTGGATATAGCAATCCTAACATTTTTATGTTCCCACGTTTGATTTTTTCTTAGGCAACAGGCACCACTTCCCCATCTCCTTTTCCTTGCACAGGACCTGTCACAAGCCAGGTGCTCAGGAAGCCTTTAAACAGGAAATGAACAAATGAACACATTTTTAAATGGTTCTTTCTGGGCGTTTATAAGAGGACTTGGGAACAGAATTCCTCTGCGAACTATGGAGAACAGCACTTCAGGCAGCTCCAGGGGAATAGAGAGCTGAACGCTCCGAGGAGCTGAGCTCTGCAGCCACACTACTTCCGAGCCACTCCGGAGGGAAGAGGGCGTTATGTTTTTAAGAAAGGCGTTATGTTTTTTTGAAACTTTACATCTTAAGATCTAAAACTTTTTTTTTCTTATTTGCAGAAACATTCTTTGTAGTGGGTCGATGGTTTTCAAAGGTCCCCAAAACAAAACCCTGAAAGTTACAGGTTTTCTCCTGGGGAGCGGCTGTTTACTGGAAAGGTTAACTCTTGCGGGTGAAGATTTAAGACGAGAGTCCATAGCGCCATCTGCTCCGGAAACCCCCTGCTGGCTCTAGAGTAAACCAAGCATCGTGACGGAGGCCAGGGTCAAAAACAATGGACTTCTTATTGTATTCAGTTTCTCATTAGTAATTTTTAAAAGTCTGACTCATTAAATTTGGGCGGGAATGCCCAGCTGCGGCAGACAGCGTGCCTCCTTCCCCCAGGGGTGGGCAGTGGCGGCGGTGCAGACAGAGGTGAGAGAGTGGCCGCGCCAGATTTGAGAGCAGCTTGCAATATCGGGCAATCTGAAACGTCCCTCCAAGCTCTCTCACTGCATACACATTAGAATAAACAAAAATAAAGGTTAAGTCCAGTGAAAAGGGCTAAATGAGTGAATCACAGACTTCTCCAAACACCAGCCACAGCCTTGGGGTGAAGGACGTAAGTAGCTATGCTTCTTTGCTGCTGATAAAACAAGGACCTTATTTGAGCCGGGTTTTGAAGCTCAGATAATGTAAAGATTTCTTTCAAAGGAAAACCAATTCTTTGAAAACTACCATAAATCACAGTCAACCCCATCCCTCCAGGTAGCACTGAAAGCCAAGTTGACGATAATAGAGACCTCACCTGTGGACACTGCTGGGAGACACTGCAAACGCACTGCGATGTGACGTGGTTATCTGGGTGATCTGGAATACCCATGAGGAACTAAGTTTTGCCCGGCTGGTGTGGCTCAGTGGTTGAGTGTCGACCTATGAACCAGGAGGTCAGGGTTCCATTCCCAGTCAGGGCACATGCCCGGATTGTGGGCTCCATCCCCAGTGTGGGGCCTGCAGGAGGCAGCTGATCCATGATTCTCTCTCATCATTGATGTTTCTCTCTCCCTCTCCCTTCCTCTGTGAAACCAATAAAAATATATTTTTTAAAAAGACTAAATTTTATGAAATCACTTATGGAACTCACTGATGTCCCGAGAAGGTCAGGCACTGAGTTTGAAAGTGCATCCTGAAAACAGGCTGGGTGCTGGCCCCGTGGCTGGTGACTCACACAGCCATGCCTTCTGGGGTTCATCCGAGCAATCAACTCTAGCACAGCTTCAGGGGAGCTCCCTCCTGCTGGTGTGAGGGAGGAGAGAAGGCTCACGAGAAACTTAGTGCTTTACAACGAAGGACAAGAAGGCAGGAGAAGACGCACACACATGTGCGCACACACACACAGCTCTCTGGGTACCTCTGATGCTCCTGACACGAATGTGGCTGTTGGGTAAGGACTGTAGTTGTCTTAACCAGTGGTGCCCCAGCCAACAGGTCACTCTCTAGCCAGGGCCCTGGTCAGAGCCACGGTATCTCTGGGGGTCAGAGGTCATTAAATACTGAAGTTCCACTGCATTGTCCAGTGTGCCCGGTGCTGGGGCAGAGCACTTACCAGGGCGGCAAGGACCACCAGTCTCCCCGGCCAGGCTGGGTCAGAGGACCAACACAAGTGCTGTGAACGGAGTCAGAGCAAACCCAACC